ACCATCGGACAAAGATGGCCACTGCATCGCGTGCTTTCAGATGCACTTCTCTGGCCATCTGGAACGTTCTTCCTTTTGATATTAAGGAGCCTACCAGAGATATGCACTTTTTTTTTGAACTGCTTTTTGTGTTTCAGTTTGTTCGTCCTTCCCCCACACCTTCGATTAGCACGGTTGGCTACGAACGGTGCAAAAGTAGTTCAACATACATACAACTTATCAACTCGGTCATATCATCAACCTTAAAACGGGCATTCGATGAAAGATGTAAGTAGGTTTGTTGAACTACGTAGTCAACTGTGCTAATTGGAGGTGCTGTGGAAGGACAACAAACTAAACAAAGGAATTATTTTTCGATTTAAAGCTTTCGTGACTGCAGGGATTCATCTTCTTGGTTCTTTCAATAAAGTCACGTAGAAGGGAAATAATAAAATAATAAAAATAAAACAATGAAATTTTATTCTCACGACGGCTGTCTTTCCGACAGCCCTCTTCTTCACCTGAGGACGGCTTCTTGCATTGTGGCCGAAACGTCGTGAGAATTTTATTTTATTATGTTTAATTGTTATTATTTTATTATTTCCCTTCTACGTGACTTTACCGAAAGAACCAAGAAGAAAAAGGAATTATAAAGAAATGTTTAAGTGGAGTGAATCATTCCTGCCAAATATGCAGCTGATGATATTATGAACTCCCAGAAAGTTGTGTTGCTGATGAGTTGTCTAAAGAAAAATGCTCGTACTTCTTTATGTAGAGGGATAGATTTAGGAAGGAGGCCTGCTGTCTGCGTATTTGGTATGCTTGCAGTTAATTAGTGAAACACGCATGCTCAATACTCGCATGATTTGCCGGGATATCCTCTGTTAGTGGTGCTTTCTCCTGCCGATATATCGTGACGAGTATTTCTGTACGTTTACATGCATGTACCACCGCGTGCTTGTGTGCAACGGCGTTCATTAGTGTCCGTTTCCCAATCAATCGCTTCTTGGGCTGTGTGGCGAACACCCCGCAGCAGCAGCAGCAACAGCAGATGATGTCATCCTTTCTGCTCCTCTCCTCCGCTGTTGGTGGAGCAGGGCCCTGCGGCTGTGTAGTGCGAGCCCTTAATTAATTATCGAAGGATCATTACGTTAATGTGTCCCTTAGCCTGCCCCGTTGTAACCGTGGGGTCGGTGACACCGACGCCCGATACGCGCGCGCGCAACGCTCCGGGTCGCGGCGCACCGTATCGAACCACGCGCGTCCGCAACCAGCCCCCTATCGATCCTCGTCGACGCACAATGCGCACGCCCCATTTGCTACTTCCCGTACTTCACCATGCCGTTCGGCACGGCTTGTTTGCGCGCGTGTCCGTACGACGTACGTTGAACTTTCTTTCGCTCGCGCCGCGCGGAGCCGACCGTGCTCATTGGTGGTGGTGCGGCGGAAGGACGACGACAAAACCCAACGCAAAAAAGCGGTTCAATAGAAATTAGTTGGAAGGTATGCGGTTGCACAGGAAGAAGGACGGTGGAGTTTGCACCGCGAGTCAACTGCTGCCGGCAGCGGCGACCTGCACCCGGTGCTTTGTGCCCGGTGGTCTCCGATCCAAACGCCGTCCCGGTGCTCCGTCTCTGCTTTGGCTTCCGAGGTCTCCGCCGTAAGGATCGGGCGCGTTCCGGGAGCTTCGTGGTCGTGCGCATCCCTCGTCGCTAATCGCGCGCGCGTAAGCAGAACACGCTCGCGTAAAGCGCATCACTCTGAGCTGTGCTTAAATGTTTCCACTGGCAGTACTGTGCACGTCCACGCTTGGGGTTTTTGTTTGCCCGCTGCGACGTTGTGAAATGTGAACTTGGCCACCGTGGAACTCGTTCCCCCAGGTCTCCCGCCTGCCCACGCTGTCACGAAACTTGAGAAGAGCCCGGATAAGCAAATCCACACAATTTAATTAGTGCGAATTGACGCGCTCGCGGAAACGCACAGACGCGCCCACCCCTCCTGCAGATTATGTGACTTCCGTGTGGCCACACCCACTTTGAATCTCTCCCCGTCTCCCCGCCGCCCCCTCTGAAAACAGACGCTGCTCCTCCGTCCTTTCGTCTCTCTTCTCTCTCTGTTCCCTCTCCTACTATCATCATCTTCACCACCATCTCATTATCCCCGACATCTCTGCCCGGCAGTTCCTTCTTCCCCTCCTCCTGTTCCTTCCCGGCGCTCCTTTGTTCTTCCTGTAGCTCGTCTTGAACCCCACCCTCAATGTCTAAAACGAAACTAAACAATGTTTCTTTTACCAGCTAAGGCCCACTGAGCTATAGAGCTCTTCTTCAGAAGCGACCTGACCACAAATGATCGCTCAATGGAGTGGCTTATCACGTGGAAATAGATTGGAAACTGATTACTTTATAACAGCTTTTTGTGTTTAGTTTGTTGTCCTTCCCCCGCACCTCCGATTAGCACGGTTGACTGTGTACAGTGCGAAAGATGTTCTGCATACATGCATGTTTCTAAATTTGGAGGGGAAAATCGGAGGACCGGGAGAAAAATCAACATGACCACAGGGAGAACACGCAAACTCCAAACATACAGACATCCAGAAATTCGGGATGGAACCCACAACCTCCTGTGTGCCAGGCGAGGTAGTTAACATCTCACCACTGCGACGCCCCCACGGTACCTTGGAGACTTCCATCCCAGCAACCCTTTTTCCCCCCCCGCTCACCTTGCCCCTCTGCCCGCTGCCCTTTTGCACGACTCGCTCGACTGCCCTGCCCGGTGCCCCACGGGTGAACGGTTTACGCATTCTGAGGCACGCTGCGCTGAAAGCGCTGCGCACATTCAAGTGTTGAGCTGCTATTCTTGCCCCAAAATCGATACGGGTCGTGGCATTGGTATTGGCGAGTTGTCGTCGTAAGTTTCGCAGCGATCGGTATACAAGGGCGTTGTAGTTTTCGTGAGAATGTGGGAAATATTCGTGGACGGATGGAAGGGACGTGGTAATTCATGGGCATTTGAGACAACAATGGTAGAGGCGATGACTTTCCTTTGGGTAGAGAGAGGGGACGGCAGGCGTGGCTGTAACTTTCACGGGCCCCGCAGTCTGGATGTGTTCTTCCTCACCGCTGTAACTCCATGGCAGTGTCACATTAGATATGTGTGATATTAAATAATCCAAGTGGCCCGAAAGTCAAGACATACAGGGTTATTACATTTATTTTTACAAATCACTTAGGGTTATATTCTTTGGGTCTTACTTAGGGTTATGTCATTTATTATAACAAATGTTTCAATGTGACTTCCATTAACGTGAATGCATGCGTGAATTCTCTTTTGAAATTGAATTAGGACTTCCTTTTAAGATGACAGCTGTAATCTTTGAACATTCATCAATTATGTTTGTGTCTCAATTCATTCAGGGTTCTTGATCGAGTTTTGTAAATGTCATCTGAAAAGGAAGAAGAAAGAGAGATCAATACTGATAATAGATAATAAAATGTCGACTTAAAGAATAAACAATTTAAACGTTTTAATGCCGGTGTTAAAATAACCTCATGTGTCCTGACTTTAGAAAACATTTGTATTGTACATGCCTTTGCTTCTTTGTTATCAATGAACATAACAATACAATTTTCAGCCCTTTATCAATCCACCGCTGAACGAATGCCTGCCCATGCCGTGTTGATCATGGATAGTCATTTGACCATGCTTCACCACGCTGTTCAATCCGGGTTGGTTAAGGGGGCAGACAGTCAGCACCGGTTCAAATATCACTAGGGCCCACCGACCTTAGCGGTGGCCTGGAATCGAACTCTGCTCACCGGATTTTGTCGTGCAGTGCAATGACCACTGCAATGCTTACCACCACTCAGCACAGGTGCTCACCCTCACTCACCACCACTACTCACCACCACTCTTATCAGGTGCTCACCCTCACTCACCACCACTACTCACCACCACTCTATCAGGTGCTCACCCTCACTCACCACCACTACTCACCACCACTACTCATCACCACTCTATCAGGTGCTCACCCACACTCACCACCACTACTCACCACCACTCCATCAGGTGCTCACCCTCACTCACCACCACTACTCACCACCACTCAGCACAGGTGCTCACCCTCACTCACCACCACTACTCACCACCACTACTCACCACCACTCCATCAGGTGCTCACCCTCACTCACCACCACTACTCACCACCACTCTATCAGGTGCTCACCCTCACTCACCACCACCACTCACCACCACTCTATCAGGTGCTCACCCTCACTCACCACCACTACTCACCACCACTACTCACCACCACTACTCACCACCACTACTCACCACCACTACTCACCACCACCCAGCACAGGCGCTCACCCTCACTCACCACCACTACTCACCACCACTCTATCAGGTGCTCACCCTCACTCACCACCACTACTCACCACCACTCTATCAGGTGCTCACCCTCACTCACCACCACTACTCACCACCACTACTCACCACCACTCTATCAGGTGCTCACCCTCACTCACCACCACTACTCACCACCACTCTATCAGGTGCTCACCCTCACTCACCACCACTACTCACCACCACCCAGCGATGCATTGACCTTCACTCACAACCACTGTGGTGCTCACCCTCGCCACCAAATATAAAAATAATAATAAAGTTACTGCAACGGGGCCAATATAAGTAGAAATCGGTGCAATGCCGCACAGATGTTTTGTTTGCTCTTACTTAACGACGACGATGATAATGACGACGACGACGATGATGATGGTGATGACGGTGACTGCGTGAAATGAGACTGATGCAAGTGTGCGGTCGATGGCCGTCCTTGTTTTTCTCCCAAGAAAAAAGAAACACTCCAGAGAAGCGAAAGGTTGTACGCCGCCTTTTGTCGAGGAATGTTAAAAGCTTTTTAATGGAAGAACTGTGTTGTGACCTGGCAAATCTAAGCAGGGATTTTGTGTGCGTGTGTCTGCGCGTGTGTGCGTGCGTGTGTTTCCCCCCCCACCCCCCTCCAGCGATGGAAGGCGTACCCTTTGTGCTGCACGAACGATACGCGACAGACAGTAACAATGTGAGTAAATACATTTAATTCACAGCTCTTCTTTTTTCTTCTGCTAAGTTTACCCGCCACAAATTCATTTATGCAAGCAGCACTGCTGCCTTCTCGCAATTTAATACATTGCCCTTCCGTTTAATTGGTGCCACGCTTCGTACGTTTTCTTTTCGCGCGGCGGCTTTGATCATACGATGTTGCTTGTGCCGATCGTTGTCAAATAGACGTTCCCTTTGTTGGCACGGATGCCTCCGATGCCTGGCTTGGCATTTGACACCAGCGCCGAGCTCTCATCTTCGGTTCTTTCCTCCTCCAAAAGGGGTCTTTCATCACCTCCAGTCGAGTGCGCGTGAGTGTGTGTCTGTGTGCGTGTACATCTTGCGCGTATGTTTTTTTACGTGCCGCGTGTGCGTTACGCGTACCCTCGCGTATCCTGTTTACGCGGTGAGCGGTGGCGTGGCGGTTGACGGTGCTATGCCACGAACCCAGCGAGCCCGGTTCGATTCCTGCTCGTGACCAATATCGGTGGCATATATCTGAAGCAGTCCTGGGTCTCCCCTGGATCCTTGGTGCGGTTGTGCAAACATCCGAAATGCGGGGAGACAAAGGCAGCCGGGCGCGGTGCTGGCCACACCGCCCCCTGGTGTGTTGTCGGTCTTTATAGGTACTCGCTAACAGCACTTGCCCAAACAGCCTGGAGAGGTTGTATGGGGAATCTTTGTACATGATGTCCTTTTACGTATGTATTGATCGTACGTGAATCAATTCACTGGTTGTGAAATCTCAAGAGGGCCCAACGATGGCGTAGCGGTCAGCACGGTTCTCTGAAATCCGAGCGGCGTGGGTTAAATTCCTGCATAAATACAGAAACATTCAAATTATCAACATTCATAAAAAGTGCAATCCGAAAAAAACAAGTCGTCGAGAGTCACTTTCTACACGTGTGGTTTTTCGGCAGAACAACGCAACGAGCGTTGAGCACGCCCCGCCACAAACAGTTGTAAATGGCGAGACAAAATGCATCCGGAAACATTTGCCACCAAAATGAATACGGAGCAGCGTGGCGCCCACCACCGAACCCCGATTCACCGCTGCACCCAGCACGCAGCACGCAGCAGGCGGAGCGTCGCTTAACGTTGGCACGCCCGCGTCCTCTCTTTCGGCAGCGCCCTTCCCGTTCTTGTCCGTTGTCAAATTTCTTTACCGACGGGTCTCGTTCGTTCCCCGTGTCCCGAACGCACGGGGGAGGGGGGGGGGTGGGCCCCCCTTATCGTCGACGTTGCCGGCGTCTTTCGCTCCTCGCCGTCTCCGCGTGGACGCGGCGCAGCCCCGGCTAATTGCGACCGCCGCGTTGTGCGTACATTAATATTAATCCTCCGTGCCTTTAAACATTCATCCCGCGTCCATTATTGAACGGCGGCTTTCAGGTGAGCGTCCCTTCGGCCGCCGTGCGGCGTCGGGACCCTCTGCGGAAGTTCGGGGCGGATAAACGACGAGGACGGTTTCCTTGGAAGTGAGATGGGGGGCCCTCTGGCCGGACGCGGGGGGTGGGGGGGGGGAGAGATTGACATGTTAATAAATGAAATTATGAAAGGAATTTTCTCCGGACGCGTATTTATATTTTTTCCGAGGGGGGCCTACCTTCACGAAATGATTATGCATACGATTTTAAATAAGGCTTCACTCGGGCATGGCACGATTATATGCTTCGTATTGAAATGAATAATGCAGAGTCTTCCAAATAAATATGTAAATATCCATCGCTTTATCCCTCGGTGAAGGCTCCTCCGCTTTCCAGCGAGTGCACGGAGGAACCCTGTACGCGTTCTTGATCTGTAACGCGTTATGAATACTGTAGATCGCTTTGCAGTTTTTATACACGAGCTGCGTATATATACACGTGTGTCGTGTGGAAATGTGGCATTTATACTTGCGTGTGCAATGTATGTAGTAGGTAGCCATTACCGCGTCGTCAGGTTTGTGACCCCGGGGGTTGATTCCCGGTCCATGGCTAACGACGGTGGCGAGTGTCAATTTTGAGACGGTCCTCTGGACTCGCTGCATTCCCCAATCCGCACTGACCAGCGTGGTGAAGTATGTACGGCCCGCTCGTGATCACATACACTGACGAATACTTGAACCGATCCTGGCGCCTCCCCTAGGTCGACTCGGGCTTCAATGAGTACCTAGTGTGGTGTGTAAACATGAGCACTGGGGAGACAAAGGAGGCCGGGCGTGGTGCCTTGCCGGGTTTACGTCAGTGCTCGCTGACAGCTCTTGCCGCAAGCGTCTGTCAAAGGCTACACCGGGGATCTTTGTCTTTGTCTATATATTTACATGCGATGTCAGACGTTTCACTCCGCACACCAGAGTGAGACGTACCGAGCGACACACGGTGCATCCCGAGCGCGAGCTCCGCTGCGCGGTCGCGAATACCTCCGTGGCGAGTACGTGGGACGCCAATGTCGCGAGATGTGAACTACTTCGCCTGGCATACAGGAGGTCGTGCGTTCGATTCCGACCCTGATGTCTGTATATTTGGAGTTTCCATGTTCTCCCCGTGGTCGCGTGGATTTTTATCCGGATCCTTCGTTTTTTCCCTCCACATTTAGAATCGTGCCTTTAGAGTATTTGACCGCAATACATTTCTACACGATAAGCCACTTCGTTGAGCTATCATTTGTGGCCAGGTCGCTTCTGAACCAAGTAGCTATACAGCTCAGTGGGCCTTACCTGGTAGGGTAAAAACAACATGCAACGTGGATGTCGTACAGCGCGAAAGTTTGGACGCGTAAGGACAAGTTGCGTTGCACGACTGAAATCGCTGACTTTCATCAAGTCCCATTGACTGTGCGTGGGTTGGGTGGGGTGGGGTGGAGTGGGGGGGAGGGGGATTCCGTTGTTTAATTCGCCGGGGTCATTTAATATTCCATTACTTCCAAAACTAAATCCCGGCCGCGCGCGCGCTCGTGACGTCCGTTGTGGCGAGGGCCCTTTGCGGTTTTTCCCGACGCGAAGAAAAAACGTTCTGTAGGTGGTGAGCGCATTTGTTTTGTACAAAAGACAAAGACCCCCCCCCCCCCGCCGCCCCCGTATAGCCTTCACAGACCGCTGGGGCAAGTGCTGTTGTTACGCACACACAGGCGCGCGCTGCGTATGGCGCGAAAGAAGTTCAACATCACATACACGCAGCGAAAGGCACAAAGACTCGAATCGGATCAAATATCGATTTTCTCAAAAAAGCGAGCACCTTCTTCCGTGAACGGTGCGATGGAAACACTGCGCTGTTACGACTTGGAAAATTTAATTGACGCGGGTTTTTTGTTGTTGTTGGTGTTGTTGGTAAAGCATTAATTGTTTGGAGCGAAGGGCATTACATTTAGCATTTTGAATTAAGTTTAAATGTTTATTAATTTTAGCGACAGTGAAGCAATTTATATGATGATGATAATAATAATACAGCTATATAAAGTTTGTAATTTCAAACCACTGTGTGTATGATGGTTTTTCCGTACCACCGTGTCAGTTATGGGGGTGGTGGGTGGGGGAGTGTTTGACCATGCTTCACCACGCTGTGATCTTTAAGGTTTGGCAACTGGTAGAGCCGATACGGATATCAACTCACCCATTGATAATAGTTTTTTTACCCTTCTATCTTACAAGGAGTCATGTTTGCATAGACCACAATACCTGCAGCCATAATGCAAACAAAAAACATAACTCTGATAATATATGCACTGGTCCAACCCATGTGAGACTAGGCTCTAAGGAAAGCTGTCTCGGGTGTGGACCAATCAACTTCAAGGACAATGCACATTATCAGAGTTATGTTTTTTGTTTGCATTATGGCTGCAGGTATTGTGGTCTATGCAAACATGACTCCTTGTAAAAAAAAAAAGGTGTCAGTTTTGTTGCCAGATAGAAGGGTAAAAAAACAATTATCATATTTTTTACTGGCAAATGAGGTTCCAATGGTGTAAATGCTCACCCATTGATGTTCACCGTGACTGGGAATCCAACTCTCAAATAGGTTCTTAGTGCAAGTAGCTGCACAATCACCACCACTCCCTCACACCTCTATTTTACTCACGTTCAAATGTCTTCTTTCAGCTTCGTTATACAGTGTTCCGGCAGGAATAACATTTTCATGTCGTACTCTTTGGTTCTTTCGGTAAAGTCACGTAGGTATAAAATAAAATAAAATATTTTATTTGATCAAATAATTTTATTTTATACATTTTATTTTATGTTATAAAAATATATATTTTATTTTATCAAAATATTTTATTTGATAAAATTTATTATATTTTATAAAAAAGAATATTTTATTTAATAAAAAAATTTAATATTGTATTTTAAAAATAAAATATTTTATTTTATATTCTACCTACGTGATTTTACCAAAAGAACCAAAGAGTATTTATTTTAAAAGAAAATAAAATATTTTATTTTATAAAATAAAATAAAATATTTTAAATATTTTATTTTATTTTATACCTACGTGACTTTACCGAAAGAACCAAAGAGCATGGATTCCTGCAGTCACGAAAGCTTCAAATCAAGATTTTCAGTTCGTTTCGCAGGATTTTCTCGGCAGTCGGTGTGACGTAGCCACGGGTGCAACATTGCCCGCGCTTTCGACGGCCCGGTCGGAGGGAAGGCGCTCACGGCTCCACGTGCCTACCTCTGCACAACGCCAGTCTTTATTTACACCGGGAGCTGCAAAGCAGCGTAATCGCCGCCTCCGATTACCCAACAAAGTTGACGGACGTTTGTTTCGGACGGGGCCGAGCGTTGTGGGGGGCCAGATAGCCACGGGGGCCGGAGGACGACAACCCTATTCCAGGAGATAACGCTGAGAAATCCACGCGAATGCGCTAACAACATGCTTGCTGTATTGCCTCCCTTACTCTACCCCCTGCCCCCTTTCCAGTCCGTAGCCCTGTGAGTTGAGGTTCACGCTACTGCTGCTGCATGTGAAGACGAGAGACCCATAATAGGTTTTTTTGGGTTAGATCGCGTAAATATAAATGTGTCGTTAAACCCGCCACCACCCGACACAGCCAATGAGTAAGGTTTGTCACGTTAACGGAGCGTGCCAATTCGTTACTGGTACGGCACATCGGTGTGTTGGAGAGCAAATCCACAACATTTATAATCTGAGTGACATTTCTAACCCAATAAAAAATCTGTATTATGGATAATATTGGTCGTGACGGCCTAACCTGCGTGATCCACCTACCCCACTCGCAATGGGTCGCGGGCGCGTGGCATTCTAGAACTAAACTTAACACTTTTTTTTATAACCAGGTAAGGCCCACTGAGCTATTTAGCTTTCTTTCAGAAGTGACCTGGCTACCAATGATGTCCCAATGAAGTGGCTTATCACGTGGAAATTGAAAGCAAATACTCTCAATGCGTGATGTCGATCCTTAATGTGGAGAGGAAAAACCGGAGGACCTGGAGAAAAATACATACGACCACGGGGAGAGAGAAACGCTAACTCGTAATATACAGGCGTCGGGGTTGGGATGGAACCCACGACCTGTCTGCCACGCGAGGTAGTTAACATCTCACCGCTGCCACCACCAGCAGTTGCGATGTCTGCGGCGCTGCGTGGCGGAGTAAGCGCGCGGCGAGGATTGGGAGCGGTGCAGTTAATTGAAGTGCCTCCCCCCCCCCCCACCCTGTGCCCACCCCCCCCACCTCTCTCCCCGTGTGCGCCGACAGCTTCGACAGTACGAGATCCCACACATCCAGCTCAAGTCCTTCAAAGAGATTGAGTCCGAGGTGGGTGAGCCTTAGCAGACTGTTGGGGCAAGCGCTGTTTAGTGAGTAGCACCTTTGAAGGCCGGCACCGAAGCACACGAGGGAGGTGGGTGGCCAGCACCACGCCCGGCCACCTTTGTCTCCCTAGTAGCGATGTTTACACGCCGCACCAATTTAGAGGCTGAGTCGACCTAGGGGAGGCCCAGGACCGGTTTGGATAACCGTCACCGGTGTTGGCCGTGAGCGGGAATCGAACCCGGGTCGCCAGGTTCGTAGCGCAGCGTATCGCTAACCACTGCACTACCGCTCCCAACTATCATGCACACTCACACACGCGTATATGCATACCCACACACTAACTTGTGCACACACTGACATGTACAAACACAAAAACGTGAATGCTCACGCACACACACGTCAGAATATGCCTTCACACACACACACAAAGGCGCCTACCCACGCACCTACCTGGGGCGCGGGCGGGCGGTCTGCGAGCACGCCATAATCTCGGTGTGATAGAAAAGGAATTGGCCTGTTGAGGGCAATGAAAGTGAGAGTGTTCAAGTGTCAGAAATTTACGATCGCAGTAATTGCCGGCGCGGCGCTCTGCTCTCCCGTGCCTTTGATGATGCATCATCATCATCACCACCACCGCCGCCGTCACCTCCGCCGACACGAAGCGCCACAGAGAACGCAGCAAGGCTGAGGGTTGAGCGCGGCTGGTGCTGCCAAGCGACAGTTGTCTGGCGCCCTCTGGTGAAACCCTCGCTGCTGTGTGCGAGATCCACTGCTGTGGGTTTTTTTATATCCAGCATGCCTTTGTGTTATTCTATTACTCGGCTATAACGGTTTTCATTTTAACCAGGTAAGGGCAACTGAGCTGTATAGCTCGTTTTCAGAAGCCAGCTGGCCATCGCGAATGATAGCTTCACACGAAGTGGCTCATCACGTGGACGTTTATAGCAGCCAAATACTCTAAACGCGTGACGTTGATTCTAAAATGTGGAGGGAAGAACCGGAGGACCCGGAGAAAAATCCACGTGACCACTGGGAAAGAGAACAAGCAAACTCCGAATATACAACAGGCTTCATGGTCGGGATCGAACCCATGACCTCTTTTATACCAGGCGAGGTAGTTAACATCTCGCCACCGTGACGCCAATTCAATGGGAAGGAAGCCTCCCTTGACATTCCGCTCAGCGACACTCACGTGGTTATTTTATCTATACAACACACACACAGTTTTGCTTCGAACCAAGCCCCGTTTTTATTCTTTACAGAAATGGTCCTTGCTGACAAACATCAGGTGGTGGTCCACCAGCATTGATTGGTTGAAGCAGGGCAACGACTCTGCCGATTAGACGGCCGAAAGTCGAAACCGCTACCGAGTTCACCTTATTGAAACTATCTGCTGCTGAGAAATTACTTTCGCAAGGGCGGTGTGACGACGGGTGGTGTACAAAAAGAAACCCGATTATTTATTTACGTTGTGTGAACAGACGTGGTTAGGTAGCGATATTCACCGTGTAAATGTTTATTTAACCAGCATTAAACCCGTTGTGAACCATCCCTCATGGCCCCATGGCCTAGCTTCTACTGCCACCTCAAACACCGCTCCCCTCCCCGCCCCACCGAGTCCTCGTGTGCATCTCTGCTCTCTCCGAGCTCTCTCTCTCCCTCTCTCGACTCCACAATTTACCACGAAATTTTCCAACCGTGCAATCATTGTTATTGTTAATCTTTATTTAACCAGGGTTAAACCCTGGAGATTCACTGTCTCATTGTCAAGGTTGCCTCGCCAACGGTCGGCTCCGTAGGCAAACGCAAGCAATTAATAATACACACCACGTGGACATTTTGGAAATAAAATGGAACGAATTAACAACACGAATTCACAAGCAAAATGGTGTAATGTCTCACGAAGAGTTGTAACACTTCATAGATGGGTGTAGACTCGCCGTCGTCTAGACGCTGCTATCTTCAGGCCGAGATGGCGCACGTGTGTGGCAGGGCTGCTGCAACGTGGCGAGGGTTTCGGAAGGTCCAGAGGGTGAATTAAAAAAAAAATCGCGAAATTTGACGTTGTTTCGAATCTTATTGTAAGTGTATTTATGTATTCTTTTTTTTGTTTACCAGGTACAGCCTGCTTGGCTATGAGCTCTTTTTGCAGTTTGCATGTTCTCCCTGTGGTCGTGTGGATGTTTCTCCGGGTCCTCCGGTTTTTCCCCTCCGCATTAATAATAATAATCAACATCACGCGTTTAGAGCATTTGGCTGCAATACATTCCCACGTCGTGAGCCACTCCGTTGAGCTACCATTATCGTGTTTGCGAGTCCTGCTTCGACCCCCTCGGTGAGGAAAATGTCCCCCTGCCCCCGTGGCTAGTATAACATGAATGCCGCCTTTTCCCGTCTTGCCCACGCCGACAGTACGACTATGACTTCTTGACGGAGAGAAGTGCAGCGGCGGCGAGGAAACCTCCGGCCATGTCGTGAGGCGCTACGACGACGACGTCGACCCCTCCCGACCCCGGCCTCCCGTCTTCGCCGCCCTCTCCATCCTCCTCCGTGCACGCGCAACGCCACGCAGCCATCGTCACAAAGAAGCCATCTCCGGAGCCAAGTGGGAGGGGGGGGCGGGGGAGGGCGGGGGGAGACTTTCGACGAGAAATTAATGATCCCGAAAATGTAATTTACGGCAGGAGGGATTTGGTGGAGCTTAATTTCCAGTTGCCGGCGGGGCTGAGAGGTGCAAGCTCAATCTGTCCGATGTCAAATGGAAACGTGCGATTCTGGCGCAGAAATTTGCCACCGTGGAAAATGGAGATCTCAATGTCTTGACGCGTGTCGGGAATTGGCGGCGGAACGCCAACGCTGCAATCCTTTAACGTCCCTAATTCAGTTCCACGTACGCCGAGTGTCGTCGTTAATAATTTTTTGTTACGTCCAAATGAAGTGTCGCGTCCGCCGTTCGCAAAAGGGGGCAAAGCAAACTGGTGCGGGACGATGAGCTGGTTCAGCGCGTGCGTCGACGCGAGTGTACATTGCAAGTTGTGTTTACAGAGTTTTACTATCGCATATTAATGTTTTTTTAAATGCGTGTTAATCGTAATTCCTTCTGATTCTTTCGTCGTCGGGTCTCGTGAGGCCGAGAGACAGCATTGACCTTCCAACGTCTGTCCTCCCATTTTATTTGTACATAGCTCTTAGAAGAAAGTGTGAGTTCGTCTTGCCCCGGTAGTTGTTGTTGTTGACCTTTCACCGCTGAGAAAATCAAAACGTCGAATCGTACTCGTTTGTGTAAGTGTATATTGTGAGTCACATTTTAATCATTGCGGCACCACCTCGAGAGGAATTTTATCTTCACACGGATGTGGGCCCCCGTGTTTTAAGGCTTCTTCATCCTCACGAGCACACTCTCACTTGTTGCGTGTTGCTCTCACCAAGACGAGGAGCTCTCCTTAACCTTTTTCCATTCTGACGGTGTACGTCATCAGTTTTTTTTTCTTCCCGATTCCATTCCGATGACGCACGTGTACGTACGTCTACCTACGTGTATATCATCGGAACGGAACCGGAATGAAAACTAAACTAAAATAACTTTTATCATGACCGAGGCTCCCACAAGGCCATGCGGGAGGGCGTGTCACAGTTTGGCACCAGTTATCATATCACGAAAGTTCTCTGCGGTGAGTACAATGCCTTTAAAAACTACGGCACTACACCCCTCTATATAAAATGTACGCTAACTGCTTGCGCGTCACGAGATTCGGCGGTGAACGGGACCACCCACCCTGCGACTTGCAGACGTCTGGGAAAGGGTGAAATTGCAGAGACGTGTCCTCAAAGAGAGCCAACTTGGGCTGCCCTCGTCATGGAGTGGCTGTCGCTTTATATTAAACCCACGAATGACGAACATCTCGGTGCTTGAGCCGGAATCCCGTGGGGGTTCGCTTGCGCGTGATTGTCTGTGGCCGCGTGGCTCAGATGACGAAATAAACCTCCGAGGTCCAAGACAAAAGCCTGGTGAGCTCGCGTCAATTGGAAGCCCCCTGTCTGGTTGCTAACCGTTGTTTAAGCACGATCACACGGAGACGGCAAAGTGTCGTCTTCACGCAAGGTGTCTTTGAGAATGTTTGGTCGCGGTTGTTGCGAGGGCTCCTTGGTGGCGAGATGTTGACTACCTCGCCTGGTATACAGGACGAGGGCATGGGTTCGATCCCGACCCTGACGTATGTATGTTTGGCGTTTGCATGTTCTCACCGTGCTCACGTGGGTTTTTCTCCGGGTCGTCCAGTTTTTCCCTCCGCATTTAGAAACGCGCGTTTAGAATATTTGGCTGCTGTATATTTCCACGTGATCAGCCGCTTCATTGAGCTATGAATTGTGGCCAGGTCACTTCTGATAAAGAGCTATGTAGCTCAGTGAGCCTTACCTGGTAAACTAAAAAATAGTTCAAAGTTAAAACTCGGCTCTGAGTAAGATGCTTGCCTCTCTCACACTGCGCGCATCATGGCGCGCATATTTTTCCACACTCTCTCGTCTCTTTCCATTCTCTGTCACGTTCTTGTGGAGTTCCCTGACGATAGAATCAGAGCGGGGAGTTGTAAAGCGTGCCGCTTAATTAGCCTGCGGACCTGCCAGTCTGAATGCCGCACACTCTGCCCATGGCGCCCTCAACGCCTCGCGCTCCGACTGTTCCGACTGCGCCAACTTTGCTCGCGATCCATCGGTCATGGAGTCTGGCAGCCGAACGAAACTCGATGTATTCGTCGATCGACTGCCCGTCACAGTTGTGTGTGCCGTTCAGTCGCTGGCGATCCCGTCGCTCGTGCGCCTTTCACAGCTTTCTGCGATCGTTGCGTTTCATTTGCCTCCGCGATGACGTTGCGAGTCGTCGATTGTGCCAAGAATTACAACAGCCGATCCGTGGCTCTGGCTCCCGATGGAGGCAACGAGACCGCGTTCTCGTGCGCAAGTGGGCGTTGAATTTTGTTTCACGATTTATATATATAAAAAATCAACAAAATAGAGCATTTTTAGACGGTTTTCACGGTGTAATTAGTTCTCAAAGTGTCAACAATTTGAGCAATTTTTTCCGTCCCTCCCCCACCACCGATTTTTCAACCTTTTGTTTACCACTGGGCTGTTCTGCAAAAATAATTGTACCAGCTATCAGCACGTGTCATCCCGGCCGTGATTACGGAGCATGCTTTTAACGCTTCAGCGCCAGCGGACTGAAGTTTTTCAAGAGCAATGCTGTCGCGGTGGTTTCTAATCGTTTGAAGAGAGAGAGAGAGAGATGGGAACATTGGGAGGGGTGGAACGCACAAAGCTTTCACACAAAAAGCAAAATATATTTTTTATTAATTCTCCCAATGTGTCAGAACATCAGGAAAGCAGCTTCATGACCCATTTTCATCTGGAAGTTTGTACTCCAGATGCATTTTATCATTCACGTCGTTTCAAATTTGTGTCCTGCAAGGTGACTTTAATAAAAACGTCATTTGTGATCGAGCGACGCGGCCTGACGGTAGCTCTTTCGCCGCGCGGTGCAGAGGTTTTTGTACAGTTTGAATGCAGCGGCCGCCCTGGTTAATCCTGTGACGTCGTTCGAGAAGAGCAGGCCGTTGTGTGTTGGCGTCACGCTCCACATTTGCTCGCAAATTACTCGTATCGGAATTACACAACAATCATCGCCCCCCCCCCTACCCACTGCAAAACCTTGTCAGGAACCTCCTGACAAAAAGTAATGAGGCTTTAATGAGTATACAAGTAGTAATAATATTAAAACGTGGAAGTATTTTGAAACACAATACGTTTGGCCACGTGATCAAATGTCTCAGCCCTGAGCAAGGCGCCCGGATTCTCAAGAGGTGCGATCGTCTTGCCCGGTTGTGGCCGCGAGTTGTGCGTCCGCGAGTTGTGCGTCCGCGAGTTGTGCGTCCGCGAGTTGTGCGTCCGCGCGCTCGCTGCAACGCAACGTGGAAACGCTCCTCTTGCTGCAAATGCAGCCAAGGCGCGTGCCACCGAACGCTCCGAGGTCTTTCGAACGCAGCCGGTGCCGCGAAGTCGTATCCGGGACAGATTTGCATCGCGCGCACACTCGCGTTTCCTTCGCCGAGACGACTGTGCTCCGCTGTTTCGTCTCGGTGGTCATTATTCAGGGTGGGTCGGCAAGTCGTAAGCCCGAACACGAATCGGTGAAATGTCCGGACCTAATTTCGCTCGGCGCTCCCACATTCAAACTCCATTAACTCCCACGCTTTGCCTGCCACAGTTGCCAAACGTATCGACCTGTTCACCTCGAAAAGTAAAACACCTTCAGAGCGAGACAAATCAACCTCAGGACTGATCCTGAAAATCTTCCCGGCAGCATTCTGTCAGATATCCTTGGCAGATGTGGGTTTTCGGTTTCTTCCTGAAAACGCAGGTTCTGTAAGTCCCACCGGAGCGCTGCATCGGAAAGCCAATGAGCAGCGAGAGAGCCCCATTGACCTTCTTCACAAAGTATTCATTCGCGTTACTCTGTCGGCAAGTGTTGAGTCGCGGCGCGGGGGGTGGCGAGCGCTCGCGACGGGTTTTACTTCACCAGTTGCAACCCCACCGACGTTCCTAGGACGCGGCCACGCACCCGCAATGTCGTTTCGCTCGAAATTGCCCTCGGCGCAATGTGTCCGACTCTTGGCGCGACCGTGGGAATTACGCATCAGAATGAATATTGTATGGTTATTTTGGTGAAGTCACGTAGATTTTTAATAAATAAAGTGATTAGAAATTGCTTGTCGCAATCGAAACGTCGTGAGAATTTTATTGTTTTATATTTTGATTATTTTATTATTTCCCTTCTACGTGACTTTACCGAAAGAGCCACAGAATATGAATTCCTGCAGTCACGAAAGTTTTAAATCATCAGACTGAAGTCGCGTCGCGTCCACCCGCCCGTCTTTCTTTTTGGGCCAAGGCTCGGCACGAGCGGATGTACGTGGAGGTTGTAGGCGCTTTGCACAAAGGAAAGTCTTCGTCGCGAGGCGACACCCGACTCCCTCCGTCCAAACCCTCTGCGCACATTGACGGCATTCGACAGCCGTACGTTCAGTCGCGCACGTTTAAAAAAAATAAAAATTGCGCGCACAAGTTCCAAGCAGCACACGAGCACACACGCCCTCCCAAAGCGCACACAGCAAAACACGATCAGCAGTCTTTGAACAACTGCCTCGTGGTCCTCTCTTGTCTTTTGTAGATGGCCGTACAAAATTTGCTTGAGAAAAATGTGACCGACCGACAGACGGCAGTGATGCAGTTAGAGACAACTGTGGATCGGCTTCCTCCTGATTAGGACTCATCAGCACGGAATACGACACCGGTCCACATTTGTCCATCGCTCTATGTATGTTGAACCTCCTGCACACCGTACGTAGTCAAGCGTGCAAATTGGAGGCGCTGCTCAAATTTATGTTGATGTTGACGATGAGTCGAGAGGACCGCAATGCAGTGCTCCAGCAACTGCTGATGGGTTTCGCACAGCACACACGCGCGCTGGTGTGCTCTGTACACGTGCTTGTGTCTCGGTTGAACCCTACGGTTTTACAGGCTGCATTGTTATTCTCTTGCGATGTGTTGTCGTTTTTTTTCTCGCCATTTGCAAATTTGACATTCACTGTTCAGCAGCCTGCAGATGCGTAACAGCGCTGGGGCTTGTGCGTTGCTTGTGTCGCAATGCTGAAAATCGGCACCAATTTTTGGAAATGTAACTTAGCGCTGGGAGTCCAGTCGTTTTTGATCGCTTTAACAAGTGACGCGACACCGAAATCACGCGACACGTGTACGCACGTTACGTCTCGCCGCACGTGGGGAAACACACCGCTGTCATCACGTGCGGCCGATCCACTGCCGCACTGGCCTCGAGCCGTCGCCACCTCGCTCAGAGTTTACGACGCAGCGGTCCGTCCTGGCTCTCGGCACGCTTCCCCATCTCGCCGCTCCACGTCGGCAGTGCTGGACGTCGTCTCGGCCGCGTTCCCTCCCTGCAGGCGCCGCTTGCCCGTCTCGGCCGCCGGCCCATCATCTCTACGTCCGGTGGCGCGAGCCCCAAGTTTTCTCTTCGTTCAATATGACCGCTGCAACCTGGCCACCCACGTACGTGCTCTGATCCACGTGCTCATCGCCTCCCGAGCTTGCGCGCGCGTGTCTCCATGCGACTCCCTGCGTCCTCACGCGTACGCACACACCGTTCCTGTTGTATGTTCTTAATGTCTGCGATTCTTAAACAATTTTTATTTTACTAAAGTAAATTTAACTTTTTAGTTTATTTCAGGTAAGGTCCACTTAGCTATACGGCTCTTTTACAGAAGCGACCTGGCGGCCACAAATGATGGCCCAACGAAGTGGCCTCTCACGTGGACATGTACAGCAGCCAAATACTCAGAACGCACTTTGATTCTATGTGTAGAGGGGAAAACTGGAGGACCCGGATACAAATTCCTCGCGACCGCAGTAAGAACGTGCAAACTCCAATTATACAGCAGGGGTCAGGGTCTGGATCGAGCCCACGACCTCCTGTGTACCACGCGAGGTAGTTGACATCTCTGCAGCAGGTAATACACACGGATTAGAGATGATATTATTTGAACCACGTGGCTGTGTTGCTTTTCGTGGTTGAGTTAACTTTTTTTTACAAACGCATGAAGGCCTGCTCTCGTAAGCCTCTTTATTAAATCCTTTATATTAAGTTCGCTTGCTTGCTTAGGACCGTGCAAATCTTTCGGTCGTTTTTTAACCCACTTCCCGTAATCCAATCGAGCTGACATTTTGCACACAGACTCGTTGTGCGTGACAATGCATTTTCGTGAAAAATTTTTTCCAAAATTTGACACTGTTTAGGGAAATTTTTAAAAATATTTTATTACCAATTGTTTAATGCTGCCAGATAATCATCTGACCCATAGGTGGCAGCCATCTCAAGCCAGAGGACGAGAGGACTCTAGCCGCCCCGATGCCACGCATATAAAGGATTTATAGTGAAAAACTTTGTTTTTACGGGTTTACTTGTTATTATAATTCAGATCCCGGTCTGCCTTGAACAGCTCACCTGAATTCACTCTGCTGTGGACATCTTCAATTGTTATTCGTGAACTGGTTGAACTACCTGAGTTTTATTCTGCCCATATTTATCTTGGGCCCAACTTTGCAGCCTTATTCAAACATTCAACTTTTCAATAATGTCCCGGAGTCCGTTTTAAATTGGCCGTTAACGTCAAGTAGTCAACCGATTAGACGTTTCATATTTCGCACATTGATGTTTTGTTTATGCCTTTATTTCTCTTGTCTGATATTCGGAAAATATATTTTAATGTCACCGTGTCTCCTTGTTTTGGCTCCCCCTTAATTGTCAGCCCAGCATTCATAACAGATTGTATACTTTTCATTTTCAAACGGGTAACAATTGAAGTGCTTATTCACGTTTAACTCGCAGAGTTTTTCACGACCACGACAGGCAAAGGCACATTTTTGTATTAGCGCGCTGCTCAAAAGCGTCACCCGCACAAACAAATCAGCCCTGATCCAGCGGTGTAAATTCTTCGTTCATATGCTGGGGCCAGTCCATCCGCGACGACCACTGCTGACTTCCCACAGAGTTGGTACAGTCCTCGTTTTGTAGAGTAATTCAATGCAGAATTGACACCTGCCAAAGATTTCAATCTGCGACCTCTAATTAGTCAGTCGAGAACGCTAAGCACGGGGGCCACGTGATCACGTCTCTTGTGCTCTGGGGATGGAGGAAATGCCTCCAGTTTTAAACGTTGTGTGTTTGTGTGCCATTTTGTGAATTCTCACTTGGTCTCATCGTCAGCCATTTGTAGGACTGCAACATGCAACGGCAATAATATTTTTACACCTAAATAGGGCAGATAATGCCACCTTGTGCCGCATCAGAAGTCCCGTCTGTAGCCTTGATGAGGTAGTGTACGTGTTAGATAGCTCGCATGAGGTTGAGCTGCAACGACGAGCGATACTCATTGTGCAATGGCAACGTGTCAACATTGGAATTTATTTTTTGAGGCACAAATGCCAAGAGGGGGGTTTTTGCGTCATTTAGACAGCAATTTTCTCCCAAACTGCAACTTTATATTCGTAAATTGAATTCTTACTGAGAGTCGGTGAAAAGGGCCAACTTTGGGCCAAAGTGTTGGGGAATAACGTTGGCTCAACGGTCCCCTGTTTATTGGAGAGGAGCGTTATTTTTTCACCGTCAAACAATGTCGAGTATTTTTGTTCGTGTCGATGATGCAACTCCGTAAAAGTGTCTGCTTTGAGTGTCCGCGACAACAGAAAGCACACGGTTCTATATTTACACCCGCTGGGTACAGAACCCAGATAAGTGTGTCCGTGTGTCGAACTTCTTTCACACCGTACTTATCCGAACGTGTTCGTCGGTGGTGCGGGAAATCCTTGTTGGCCGTGAACCGTGTGACCGCGTCTTTTTGTAACAAACGTCTAACGGTTAAAATGTGGGTGCCGCATATCTGTGGAGTTAACCAGAGCAATACAATGGTAGGGTAGGTAGGTCGCTACGTATACGGGGACAGTTGCTACCATCTTCAGGTTGTGCGTGCGTGTGGCGGTGGTGCAGCGGTTAGCGCGCTAAGCTGCGCTTCGAACCCAGTGACCCGAGTTCGATTCTCGCTCACGGCCACAAACACCAAGGGACGATCATTTGAACCGGTCCCTGGCCTCCCCTCGGTCGACTCAGCCTCAAATGAGTAGCTGGTGCGGTGTGTAAACATCGCCACTGGGGAGACAAAGGCGGTCGGGCGTGGTGTTTGGCCACCCACCCCCTCGTGCGCTGTGCCGGCCATCGGAGGTGCTCGCTAACAGCACTTGCCCCTACAGTCTGTTAAGGCTACACATAGGATTGGGGGGGGGGGGGTGTTTGTCTGCAACTGAGGAGTCGAGCGTGTTAAATTGTCGGCGGCCTGCGGTTGAGAAGCGACGACAAAAGCGAGTGGGGATTTCTGGACGCGCGGGTTGCGGGTTTTGCGCGGCAATGAATGAATTCCGCGAATAATAATCCACTCGCCTGGTCGCGCGGTCTCGCTCAAGTTTGTTTCTGAGCGACGATTTGGTGGGGGGGGGGGGGGATTGTTGTTGTTGTTGATGTTGTTGTGTTTGGTTCCGTGGAGTTGAGACATATCGACGTTCTTCCTGGCGACGGCGGGGGGGGGGGGGTGGTGGCACCTGGAGCGATAATTGTCCGACGTTTCTTGGGACGATTCTCGTTGATTCCCGTTATACCAATCCACGATTTTTACCAACAAGTGGCAGACGCGCGTGATACCTGATGCACAAATGGTGGTCATCCAGAACAGAGGCAATGCCCTCCCGATCCACAAATACGCAGGAGACGTCACAAGCGGTGACGACAACACTCCACGCTGCTCCTGACGCGGTATTCATCATCTGTGCTTGACCACCTGAATGTGAAATTGTCGTCGTTTCTCTGCGTCGACTTGATCTGCAGCCTCACGAGAAAGGAAGAAGACCCGGGATGACCCTTCCACGGGCTCACGACGATTGTTTCACGAAGATCCCTGGCGTTTAGGATGTTTCGGTCAATTCTATAAAAGCTTGTTTTATTGTTGTTGTTGTTGTAAGAAGCTGGAATTGCCCAAACATTCGCGAGGGGACAGCACTCGAAAAGCGCCAGGCGGAAATGTCATCGGCCTACTTTCTGTACTGCCGCCTGTACGCATGAGCGTGGGTGTCTCTCGTGCGCTGTCTGGCCCATCGCCACCCAACTCCGCATCTCACCTCGCTAATCCTTGCAGAATAAACCCCCCCTTCCCCCAATAACAGTACAGTATTGTAATACGAATCCACAATTGCCAAGTGGGAATTGAGTTGATGTGGCGAGGACCAGAGGCGGCTCGAGGTTATGGCGAATCGGGGCGACTGCCCCGGGCCCCGCGCTTGGGGGGGGGGGGGCGTGAGGCTCATATCGTGGGATTTACCCCGCCCCCCCCCCCCCCCGACGCTATGGACGGCCCTTGCGAGGACTTCACATTTTTGACCATCGCTGCAGCTTTTGCGCTGCCGAAGCACACACTGCCACGGGCTGCGCGCGGCGTTAACTTCCCCGCACCGTGGCTTGATAATAATCGACGTCGTCGGAGCGGGTGCTGTTGGAGCGAGGCTCGAGTGGCCTCTGCCCCCCCGTGGTGCTGAGCCCTGCACGTTCCTGTCGGGGTGTTTCTGCGCCCGGCGTGTGCCATGTCGCCGGTGACGCCAAGACAATCTGCGGGGCCACGCTGTGGCAAGAGGCGCCGTGGGTTAATCGAGCGGCTGTGGATGTAAGAGTTGTTCATAGTTCTCCAATAAATGTTTGACTTACGTGCTGTGCGTGGCCTTGGCTTTTTTAAATCCTTTATATTAAGTTCACTTGCTTGCTTGCTTGCGCGCTTACGACCGTGCAAATCTTTCGGTCGTGTTTTAACCCACTTCCCGTGTTCCAATCGAGCTGACATTTTGCACACAGACTCGTTGTGCGTGACAATTAATTTTCGTGAAATTTTTTTTTCCAAAACTTTACACTGTTTAGGGATTTTTTTTAAATTACCAATTGCTTAATGCTGGCAGACAATCATCTGACCCATAGGTGGCAGCCATCTCAAGCTAGAGGGAGAGAGGACTCTAGCCGCCACGCATATAAAGGATTTATAGTGAAAAACTTTGTTTTTACGGGTTAATTTTTTTCGTAACGATGCCACCGAATGCCCCCGTGTGGCGACAATCCAGATTTACAGAAAGGCTGCGAATAAAATCTATCAAAAACGAAAAGGTGTTTTTATTTTAGCAGGTAAGGCTCACTGAGCTATGTAGCTCTTTTTCAGAAGCGACCTGGCCACACGTGATAGTTCAACGAGAAGTGGCTTATCACGTGGACATTTATAGCAGCCAAATACTCTAGACGTGTGATGTTGATTATACACTGGTCAACAAAAAAAAAATTCGAGCCTGGACTTTTGCAGCTGTTTTAGACTAATTTCAGGGTGCTGATTCCAAATCTGATCTCAGATTTGCTCTATCACATCTCATTTTTATGCTATCGGCATACCCCATTTTCATTTATTTTACTCGAAATTAACTCTGTCACTTGTGATTGCAAGTTGTTGCGAGTCAGTGACTGCTTTAGTGTTAAAATATGGTGCTGTATTTTTAGGATGGTGTGTTTATAAGATCATTTTATGTAGATATCCACATTTATTCAATATCTTTCTTCTGCAGTTTTTATTGAAAATGCAATATTTGATATCTCAAAAACCTGATGTGATGGACAAAAACTGATGCCAGATTTGGAATCAGCACCCCTAAAATTACATTAAAACCGTTGGAATACCTTATGCCAGAAAAAGTGTGTTGACCAGTGTTATAATTGTGGAGGGAAAAACTGGAGGGCCCGGAGAAAAATCCACGCGACCACTGGGAGAGACACGCAGACTCCAAATGACGTCCGCGTGGTCCTGATCACCTCCTAGAAGTTCCGTCCCAACTTTGCGATGCTTTAAAGGCGTACATTTATGTAGCTTTATTTGGGCCATCGGGGTGGAGCAGTGGGTTCACGCTTATGCCTCACTACCAGAAGAGCCCTGGCGGGTTCAATTCCTAACTTTACCCAATAGGACACGTAGCAGTGGAACCTCGATAACGTAAGAGTAATCGATTATTTGATCAATCGGATGTCCCCCCTTCGAGTTCTATGAAGTCATCTGTGTTGCACAACAACAACCGCTATTCGCCACTAAGTGACGGGGTGACGTCACCACGGCGCATGTGCCAGGCTACGTGCACGTTAGGGCCACGTGAAGTGTCGAACGTCCGCTGGCAGGAGGTCACGGGATAGACCGGGCAGGTGCAATGGGGTCGGACTGACTGAGACGGCTGGCCGATGCACCGCATGTGGCCCCCTCGTATAGGGCTGAATGATTTGGGGAAAATATCAAATTGCGAATTTTGTGACAGATCGATTGCGATTTGATTTGCGATTAAAAAAATGTAAAGTCAAGCTTCAGTTAAATATTCACTGTGTAATAGATTTAAAACATGTGATGGAGCATTACCACATGATACCATCATAATATGAACTGCTCTATATATTCTAATGCAAGGATGAGAACTTAAAATATATGAATTGCTTCAAACATGTATTTATTAAAACGTTTTAATTGAAATTGAACAATCAAACATAGAACAATTGATAAATCTTGATTTGAAGCTTTCGTGACTGCAGGAATCCATCCTCTTTGGTTCTTTCCATAAAGTCACGTAGGTAGAAAATAAATCACGACATTTCGGGCACAACACAAGTTGATGAGGGACGCTTGTGTTGCGCCCGAAACGTGATTTATTTTATACCTACGTGACTTTACCGAAAGAACCAAAGAGTAACAATTGTTAAGTTAAGTAAATAAAGTTATAATAATAAAACAATTCCAATAAGAAAGTAATCGGACTTTTCAAATCGCAGCCTTTGCGATTTGCCAATCGCATTGTTTCAAATTGCGATTTCGATTTGAAATCGAACACATTCCTGCGGAGGGAGCTGGTAGGAACGTTGGGTTGCTCGGTCAATGGCCAGGGTCAACGGCGGCGTGGTGTGTTCCGCAAATATGCCCGACTGTGAGGGCGGGCACAAGCCGGCGTGAGTAGGTTAAACGTTGAGTTTTATAAGGGCACCACGGGGTGACCAGCCCCTCCCCACCCAGCCCCACCCAGCCCCTCCCCACCCTCCCCACCCAGCCCCTCCCCACCCAGCCTCTCCCCACCCTCCCCACCCAGCCCCTCCCTCCCCACCTAGCCCCTCCCCACCCTCCCCACCCTCCCCACCCAGCCCGTCCCCACCCTCCCCTCCCCACCCACCGAGCCCCTCCCTCCCCACCCAGCCCCTCCCTGCACGACGGACACAATAATCCCCTGTGGGCTGGTGTAACCAGGAGGTTCCTACCAGTGTTAATCGTTCAGCCCTACTCACCCCTACCGCGTGCCACGGTGACCACACTCACTCGCAACAGCTGTGCCCTTTAAATTTCGATTTAAAGCTTTCGTGACTGCAGGGATTCATCTTCTTGGTTCTTTCGGTAAAGTCACGTAGAAGGGAAATAATAAAATAATGAAAATAAAACATAATTAAATACAATTATAATTAAATACAATTATGTTTTATTTGTATTATTTTATTACTTCCCTTCTACGTGACTTTACCGAAAGAACCAAGAAGCTGTGCCCTTGCTGTGATGAGCCGTGGACAGCAGGGGTCGCCACCAGCCCGCAGGGAGATTGCATCAAGTTCGTTAATTCATGGGGGGGAAGGGGAGGGGAGACAAGACATCAAAATCCTCACTGTGCACACATTTGTTCTGATTATATTAAAGATACACTTTGTATATATACACTTTATACTCGCGTTGGCCGGTATCTGCCCACTGCTGGATGAGGTCCCTGCCCACGCCGTGCCGGCCATGGCTCGTTTGGTGACGACGAGCAGCTTGGGGCCGTCCATAAATGACGTCACGCGATTTTGGACGATTTTGGACCCCCCTCCCCCCCATCGTCACACGGCGTCACAAAAAGTCAGTTCCCCCTCTCAAATATGACGTCATAAAACTCTGCCCCCCCCCCCCCCCCAAAATAAAACATGCTTCAAATGGCTTTAAACTATTGTCATTGTAGTGCGTATTTAATGTGGCGCTGCACTCTGATGTTGTAGGAGAAAACATTTATTAAAAAGTCGATTTAATTAAATACGCACGACAATGACAATAGTTTAAAGCGATTTGAAGCATGGTTTATGGTTTGGGGGGGGGGGCAGAGCTTTGCGACGTCATATTTGAGGGGGGGTCTGACTTTTTGTGACGATGGGGGGGGGGGGGGGGGTCAAAAATCGTCACAAATCGCGTGACGTCATTTATGGACGGCCCCTTAGTCAAATGGAGAGGTGCCCAGGATCGGTCCCCCCACTTGATGTGAGCCGTGACCAGAAATCCAACTGAGGCCACACTGCGTTTCATGCGCGAACCACAGCGCCACTACTCCACCTTCCATGTAATTGCTGCAATATATTTGAACATATATTATACTGGTAGGAACCTCCTGGTTACACCAGCCCACAAGAGATTATTGTGTCCGTCCGTCCGTCGTGAAGGGAGGGGCTGGGGAGGGAGGGAGGGGTTGGGTGGGGAGGGGAGGGTGGGGAGGGGCTGGGTGGGGAGGGTGGGGCTGGGTGGGGAGGGTGGGGCTGGGTGGGGAGGGGACGGTGGGGAGGGGCTGGGTGAGGAGGGGCTGAGTGGGGAGGGGCTGGGTGGGGGGTGGGAGGGGTGGGGCTGCGTAGGGAGGGGCTGGTCACCCCGTGGTGCCCTTATAAAACTCAACGTTTAAGCTACTCACGCTGGCTTGTGCCCGCCCTCACAGTCGGGCATATTTGCGGAATACACCACGCCGCTGTTGACCCTGCAGGCCATTGACTGAGCAACGCAACGTTCCTACCAGCTCCCTCCGCAGGAATGTATTTAATTGCCTCGGCTGTTTTGTATTATTTGGGGTGGTTCACAATCATTTACGGCCTTCGGCCAAGAAAGTCGCGATAAAATTTGCACTCGAACGATGCATTGACGCAATAACCTGATGCTCCGTTTAGAAGTTTTTGAATGAAACATCTTTGAATTATGTTATGTTTTGAATTAGATTTTTGTATTTCTTCATTAAAAGCTTATATCATTTTACATCTGGAAAACTTAATTGAAAAGGACATTTCGTGTGAATTTTCTCTCGTCGTTAAGTAGATGGCCTTTCTGGGGGTTCAATTCGATGTGGACTTTCGCCTGTTTCGGATTGAGGGATCGAGATAAGGCGACACGGAGCTGCTGGCCGTGCGAGAGGACCGCCGTCTGCAGATCGATTCCAACGTAATCGATCGTCTGTCCCTGCGTCTCCGTCGTCCATGCAGGGGACGCGTAAGTTTGCAGCGCCCCCTGCATGACAACGACGGAAAGTGCAGCGTTCATCACAGATAAAGTTGTGCGCTTAAATTATTCAAAATGAGCCAAGAATGTCTGTTTGTGTGTAACGCGCATGACGTCACTCCACATGCCGCACCCCCCACCCCCCCGTCATTAATATTCATGAGCGGGTGGATTTTTACACTCACGCAGAAGGTCGAGCGGAATCTTTTTTCTTCGCAAATTCGCTTTAAGTTTGACTTTTTTTATTTAAAGTGAATATAAAAAATAATTCTACGCAGCAACAAAGTGGATTTGGTGTCGTTATTGATTTATTCGGCACTTGAGACAAAATGTATGTCTAATTTAT